CGAATGCTTTTGCAATTGAACTGCGTGTGGACATTGAGCTAAAGAGACTCTTTACATGGAGCATAAATTTTCAAAGGATGCACGACCTCATTTGCTGAATATCATGGGGAATGTGATTCTCGTTGCAAGTCCTTGACTAGGATATTCATTCTGCATTCATCTCGCAGCATGTTAAAAACGTATGGTTTGATTGAAACAATCATGGGCGTTAAGTGGACTGGGTTATCTCTCTTTCATGCGTTTCTGCAACGTATCGGAGCAAATGAAGCTCATAGCAGTCTCGGAAGAAAAAACAGTTTCGATGGTAAGCAAAGATCAGATGGTAAGCAAAGATCCCGGAGATATGAACGAGAAGGGAAGACGGAAGTAAAGAACATTTCAACGACAGATATAAATAGCCTCATTCTAAAGACTTCTTTTCCAGAAGAGCACACGCATCTCGAAAAGGGACTGGAATATCGGAAACGTAAAACTGTATGTCGAGCGTTATCGGCATGCCTTCTATTCGCCAGCTTGTCCTAGGAAAGCCGAAATTTTCACTAAGGTAAGCTGTAAATTTCAAATGTTCTTGAACACCTCATGTTGACTCTCAGTCAGTAAGATTTGCTAGTAGAAATTATGCTGAAACTTTCATGAAATATATAGACCGTGTGTGGTCATGAGCTCACGTTTGGCTAGAAGTGCGTGTGGATGGGGATAAAAGCAGATAGGATAGAAGAGAGCGTGGATGATGATAAAGGAGATAGGATAATGGCTTGGTTATGATGGACTCTGCAGTGAAGTCAATGTCATGTCCATTGTACTTGTTAGCAAAGGTCCCACAAAAAAAATTAAAAAAATTCCAACCCGGCATCTTCACTTCAGCAAAGTCAATGTCCTGTCCATTGTACTTGTTAGCAAAGGTCCCACAAAAAAGATCAAAAGATTCTAGCCCGTCATCTTCACTTCAGCAAAGTGAACTAGGCCGTAAACAATTTCTAGTCGTGGTTAGACATTTTTTTAGATATGTAATAAGTTGTGAATCACTAAGGACAAATGAATATTGTTGTTAGTTTCCTAGAAGACGCGGCACTAAGAGTCAAGGCTAAAGATTATGTAAGATATAGTTTGGAGTGCAATATACTGGATACTTTTCATGTTTATGCTTGTGTGAGTATAAAAATTTCTTATTTATATATTGGATGAGAGGTTGAAATGACCCTGTGAATGCTATAGTTGCTTACCAAATGCAACAATTCTGTAAAAACTAACCAAATTACATTGGAAAATGATTTTTCCATTAACATTTTATGTCTTTGGAGTAAGTTCAACTTGAATAGAATATGCAATAAGAGTTTTGGTGTGTGTAGGTTTGTTCATATACACCTCTAAAGTTAGTTGATTCAATCTTGAAAATGTATCTATATGAAAGTGCCTAAGAATCAAAGCGCCAAGTATTAAAAATAACTGAAAAATTCTAGAGTCAAAATCTCTAAAGCAGATTAGATATCGTAAGAATAATGTGATAATTTCACTTTTATTGAATAATATCTTGTTTAGATCAATGATTTAGATCTTGTATATGAGTTAAACATTTTGAGATGGTACTTATCATCAAATAAAGATACAAATTAGACTCTACATGCAAATTACACCACATCTTCATCTGAAGTCACGAATCACTGTTATTTAGCATTTAGCATCAGAATTATTTCTTAAGTCATGTATACAGCACAGTTTCTCTTAATTTGCAAGCAAATTCGAAAAATGTAACTTTTTCAGAGGTTTGATGTTGAGCTCAGCAAGTATCATTCTGGTTCTATGAACTTCAATACAGCGCGATAAACAAGCAAGAGTGCTCCAAGCACGGACAAAATTCGATTTCAGTTTCATGTTTGAGGTGTAAAGAACACCAGACTCTGGAACTAGAACTGTGAATGAGCTCACATGCTTGACAGTTGAGCTAGAAGAAAAATCGTATCAGCAATCGAGAACCTCGATTGCGCTCCTACTCTGTTCAAAATTCTTCAACATCATGTTTAGTAAACTTCCAAATAGCTTACCATTTTGTTCTGAACCTACAAGTTATGTAGAGTTATATAGACTACTGTATCAATATTTAAAGAAAAAAGAAAGCACAAGAGGCATTGTGAACCAGGCGCACAGCGCCAGAATCATCCAAAAACTATCGAGATGACTTTTTGTAGACTTTTTGGGTAGTCTTTTTTTGACTTTTTTGACTTTCTGTGACATATTGTCTCGTTGCAAGTCTCACTATGATGAAAACTCTTCCCTTGAAACGTGAGGGTGGTCACGTTGAACTTCCACACATATCCCTGATTGATTCCTCTGTTGTCGCACGATGAAGGTCCAACAAATGTATGATGGACCGGAATAAAATTACAACGTGCTGTCATTCTCAGCTAGTAACCGTGATTAAACAAGAGAGCAATCTAAACTAAAGAAAATGCTTCTCCTAGAATTCATGCATAATATCTGATATGTGAAGCTCAGAAATTCGTAGCTCATGTGAATCTGCTTCTGGCGCTTCTTTGTATGACCAAAATATTTCACAAATTTCCTAAGGAGGCAGAACTCCAGTTCGATTGCATCTTAGCGGTATAGCCGAACTCGTGCACAAATCTCTCTCCTATAATATTTTGTTGAGGTGTTCTCAGAGTTTTTCGTTCCATATTCTTCGTGCGACACCCTGATAACATGTGTGTTTCTCAATACATGACTATTTAGCCTTCAGTACATGCGTATACTTTATTTGAATCATTTTTCATGCCATCCATTTTAACCCTGCAACGTAGTTGTAGTCCAATCCATACCTTTGAGCAAATCACTCCAGTTAAGAGGAATGTTGATTATAGTGCCGGCGTTTTGAACCATTGATAATAAAGTGAAGAACGAATCACGGCATGGTAGATGCATGTAAAACACACAGGTTTGAGTGATGTAATTCGATCATACGAGATTGAAATTTCAAGGATAAGTTTTTTACGACTAATTGTATTCATAAATTCAGTTACTACAGCCCAACGAACAAGATGTCTATTCAGCTTAAAATAATTCTTTTAGCAGCTCTTCTGTGATGTGCAACAACTTCACGTCGTAATTCCGATCAACGTTGAACACAGCTTTATCAATCTTGAGCCAGAGTTAGTCGATCGTGAGAACACAGAATATATCAAATGTCACATACAGAGAATTTGCCTAAAAGTGTATATGTGTAATGTGCTGTTAACAATTCTAAGTATCATGTTAGTCCTCTCTAGCTTGCATCCGAATCTACAGGGCAAGGTGGCTGGATTGACTTTGCATGTAAGAAGGTTGAAGGGGTTGAGCTCATATTGAGAATTCTCTAGTTTCTTGAGCTGGAGCCTCACAATATTTCAAGAGTTTGTCTTTCAGAATTAGACAAGTACAACCTCTGAGCCAATGGTGTTTAAATCAGTCAGGAAGAAAGAAATCCTTTCATGATGTGGATTTGAATAGGTATCCCACGATGCACTGTATTCTAGCCTGACAATAAGCACACGTGCTTATTGGGTTTCTGGAGAGAAATCTTGCAGTTGTTGCAGCCCGCACCGATTGCAGTTATATGGGCAGATTCCGAATATGAAAGTTTCCTGAACTTTTGAGTCTGAGATGAAAGACCTCCCTCCGTGCAGGTTGAAGATGGAAATGACTTGGAAGAGATGAAAGCACAGGACATGACCACCCTGTGCCATGTCCTGAGGGTGACCACCTCTTCGATTTCCACTTCGGTGCGTCTGCGGTGCAATCCCACCTGCCTGTTCGTATAATCTCAGTCGGGTTGTATTCTCCGAAATCCTCCGATAAACCTCACAACTGCGGGCACCAAGAAGAAATCAACCAACAGATCTGTGCTTTTAATCGACGGGTGCTCTCCCACGTCGTTCATGAGCCCAAAATTCCCTGATACTGTACCTGCAGAAACCGCTAGAAATTGTCGATATGGAGTGTTGTAGCACGTCGGGCTCTATACGTGCTTCCGTTGTGCCTATGTCTTGAGCTTAGCACCTGGTGGGAAAGTCTACAATACATATGCTCTTGACCCAGCTCGAAGACGGTGAAAGGACCTGTTCCAGACTTAATTCTTACTTAGCCTCCCCTTGTGGCCTATGGTGCTCAACTTTGATCATATCCACGACGTATCACACTTCTTCCTCTAGACTTTCGAGTTTCTTAGCGCCTCCGCAGACCCATTTGTAAGCGGTAGGCTTTGTCATCGACTGTTCTTAGCCTGAACAAGTTCGTAGGAAGGTGATCTCCTTCCAACTTAGCTTACACAGTTGACATGTATACAGAGTCCACGGTAGATGGGGATATGCTGGTCCGCACGAAAGACTTTTTTGACTTTTAGACGGTGGGAGACTTTGTCATATACAATATATTTATTCCTCGGTTTGCTCGACGAGATGTATATCAGCCTTATCGACTGCCTACTCGAGAGCAGATGTAGAATATCGGCGCGTCAAATCGTATGGCACATGGGAATTCGGTTCACATAAATTTTATTGGTCCATCATGTTCCCGAACAGTCTCTCATGCTGCCACATTTCATGATTGGTATTCTCTGATCCTGTGCAGTGGTCTCATGGTCGCCACTCTTGCAGCATCCTGGAAAATAAGGAACGAACGACCCGCTTTTAGCCTAGACAAAAGGACTGGTCCAATCCGCGTGGATCGGTACTTCATATGAGCAGAGGCTGTGTTATGACCACATTGGATACTCTTGTTGCTTCTTAAGAATACTCTGTTCTTGTTTGGAAGGGTGATTTTGTTTACAGTTTTGAATTGGGAAGTACAGAATCCGCGAGTCTATTCTGGCTGTACTTTGGAACTCGAGTCGGATCTTATTTGATTGATGAGTGGATTGGTTTCATGTCAAGCGAGAATCTTCTCTCGAAATCCTCGCTGTAGCTGACGGAGTGTTGTTCGAAGAATGCTCAATGTGGCATGCGCTGTGAGTGAGTGGAGCTGCCCGGAGCTGTATCGTATGTAGATCTTACCCAGACACATTTCGCGGTTTTAAATTCTTGAGGGGTCTTGCTGGTGAGAAGCAAGTCAAGGAGGCGGTGGCAGAGCAGTTATGGCTGACCAGTTGGTGCACGGCATTCTACATGTCACAATCTATGAAGCCGACGGGCTGGTTGATGCAGACCGAGCAACTGGAACTCTCCCCTCCCGTTTCCAAAAGGTGAAGTCATACTTCAGATAACGATCAAGTTTTTGGAATGTCTGTCTCCTCTCGACATCTTGCAGATCGATGTTCTCTTAAGACTCAGGATTCGGAAATCTGGGCCTTACTGGACATGTTGTGCTTAGATATGACCAACCAATCACTCGCGTCTGAGAATTTTATCCTGCTTTGGGTTGGTTGTAGTGAGGTGTTTCAGTAACATACTAGGAATACTGTTACTCTGAATATGTTCTGTTTAGCTTTGCAAGCTTTTGGACGGTTCAGCTTGCGTTATCTTGTAATCGTATGGCACACGATCGTGGGATCAGATAACGAGAGGCTGAAAGATGGGATCGCGATCCTACGCCGTCACGAATTGCACGTCCTCGACCACCTTTCACCACACCGGAACCGCTGCCCGGTCAAGGAGCAAACGACTGTCCGGGATCGCGTTAAGTTTCTGCGTTGCCGTCGATTGTCTCGAGCATTCTGGCCCGTGTGCCGTGGATCAGATTGATCGACTGTCGAGCCTGGAACGCCTTCGGGCCCGAGTTTTCTTGTTTTCAACAACAGAGTCGCTGCAGTGAGCGAGTGTGAGTTACGCAGGTCTGTTGTGGTCGGTGTGTACATCGTCTTTCTTATTCATGCTGAAAGGTCTCATGAAAAAAGATTTCAGATTTTTCGACAGAGTATGACAAGCAATTCTAGGTGGTTATGTCTCAAGCGTAGACAGGAGTCTCAGTCTGAGACTCCTGTCTAAATTCTTGGTCTCTGAGACTCTCAGAGACCAAGACTGTAGGCAGGCTCGAGCTGTAAGGTCAAAATTTGCGCTCAAAATCATCTTCAGTTAACACGATGGTTTTCTTTCTTCTTCCCGTCATACGTGCAACTTTGACAAGGTGGACGAAAGCTGTCTCTCCTCAAGTCAGACCAAAAGGTGAAAAGAAGGATCCAGTCTCAGTGTCATCCGCATTCCTAGTCTTTCGGTTCATTTGTTCCCTTCGTAGGTAGCCCGTCCCAGCAGAAGTTCTGCGCTCACCAGCAGCAAGACGAGAGGCTGAAAGATGGGATCGCGATCCTACGCCGTCACGAATTGCACGTCCTCGACCACCTTTCACCACACCGGAACCGCTGCCCGGTCAAGGAGCGAACGACTGTCCGGGATCGCGTTAAGTTTCTGCGTTGCCGTCGATCGTCTCGAGCATTCTGGCCCGTGTGCCGTGGATCAGATTGATCGACTGTCGAGCCTGGAACGCCTTCGGGCCCGAGGAGGAAACCGCACTACCAAATGCCCAGAGCTCGATAGCTCGAAAGCTCGAAAGCTCGAACATCAGCGAAGGAAATCGGCTGAATTGCTCGATTGAAATCCGATGCTCTACTGTGACAGGACTCTGACAGGGGGCGCGGGGGTGCAGGTATGGCAGGGCCTCGAGGACAAAATCCACCTGGGGCAGGGCAATAGCCGGTTGTACGCGGCGGTGGATCTGGGCCCAACGCGAGTCGGGCGCACGCGCATCATCGAGCGGGAACCGGTGCACCCGGTGTGGAACGAGTCGTTCCGCATCTACGCGGCGCACGAGGTGTCGGACGTGGTCATCACGGTGAGGGACGACAAGGCAATCGGCGCGACAACTATCGGGCGCGCCAAACTGCCGGTCACGGAGCTTTTGTCGCGGCGCGCCATCGACGACTGGTACGACCTGTTCACGGACACCGGCGAAGCCGTCAAGGGCGGCGAGGGCAAAGTGCGCTTCTGCATTCGCTTCTACGCCGCCGTCGACGACCCGCAGTGGAGTCGCGGCATTCGGGACCCCAGGTACGACGGCGTGCCTTACACCTTCTTCCCGCAGCGCCGAGGCTGTCGCGTCACGCTGTACCAGGATGCGCACATGCCCGACGGGTTCCTGGAGAAGATCTCCCTTGCCGATGGACGCATCAAGCAGCCGACCCACTGCTGGGAGGACGCGTACCGCATGATCATGGGCGCGCGCCACATGATCTACGTCGCGGGCTGGTCCGTGTACACGGAGATCACGCTCATCCGCGACGAGGACCGGATGATCGAAGGCGCCCAAGGCGTCACGCTGGGCCAATTGCTGAAGCGCCGGGCGGACGAGGGCGTGCGAGTGAACATTCTGGTGTGGGACGATCGCACCTCGAACGTGCTGTATTCGAAGGGCAAAATGGCAACGCACGACAATGATACTTTTGATTACTTCCAGAACACGAAAGTGAATTGCATTCTGTGCAAGCGGAGGACCGACAGGTCCGCGCTCAGTATAACGCAGTCGCTGAAGGGAGATACCATGTTCACGCACCATCAGAAGACGCTGATCGTGGACGCGCCGCTTCCCTGGGGCCACGAGACCGGGCAGCGCCGGATTGTCAGCATGGTCGGAGGCCTGGATCTGTGCAATGGGCGCTACGACACGCCGAATCACCCTCTGTTCAGCAGTCTGCACGATATTCACAATGGTGACTTCTACCAGGGCTGTTTAAAGACGGCCATGATCGAGAACGGCGGCCCTCGCCAGCCCTGGCACGACATTCACGGCCGCGTGGAGGGCGAGATCGCCTGGGATGTGCTGTACAACTTCGAGCAGAGATGGAGAAAGCAGGCCGGGCGCAGTTATCAGGAGAAGCTGGTCCCCATCGTGCGCACCGACGACATGGTCACGCCTTGTCCCGTGCTGGCCGAGGGGGATCATGACTCGTGGAATGTTCAGCTGTTCCGGTCCATCGACAGCGGTTCGGTGACTTTCCCTGAGTCTCCCGATGAGGCTGCCAGATCTGGGCTGGTGAGCGGGAAGGATCTCGTCATCGACCGCTCCATCCAAGACGCGTACGTTAACGCCATCAGGCGAGCGAGGGATTTCATCTACATCGAGAACCAGTACTTCCTGGGCAGTGCATTCGGTTGGGACGAAAGGAGTGATGTGAAAGCGCATCATGTCGTTCCCATGGAAATCGCTCTGAAGATTGTGAGCAAGATCATGGCTGGCGAGCGGTTTTCGGTCTACGTGGTCATTCCCATGTGGCCCGAAGGCGACCCGGAATCCGTGACCCTTGCCGTTCAGAGTATCCTGTTCTGGCAGCACTGTACCATGCAGATGATGTATAAACGTATCGCTGCAGCTCTGCACGCCGTGGGAAGTGAAGAGACCCCCAAGAACTACCTGAGCTTCTTCTGTCTTGGCAACCGTGAGACCTACAAGGAAGGAGAGTTCAAGCAGGTCAACATGCCTCTCCCAGGCTCCAACTATCAAAAGTCTCAGGACTCCAGGCGTTTTATGATATATGTCCATTCGAAGATGATGATTGGTAAGTACGCACTTCTGTCGACCTCCTTACGGACTCACTCGCTGTCTCGGATGACCAAGTTTCGGCTGCTCCCTACTCTCGATATCGATCAGTGGTGATGTGGTGGTCTTTACTGGCTTGAATTGCAAACTGAGCTTGTGAATCCGGAATCACCCGTGTCCATTGCTTGACAAGCAGAGGCAGCTGTTGGTCATCAAAGCTATCAGGATTCTTGTTGCTTATTTTGCCTTGTCAAAAGCGGTCCTTATAACGATCTGTGATGTTGGTTTTGTGCATGCACTACATCGTGTGTGAAGCGAGTATGAAGCTCTGATGAAATATGATCCATACGAAATATGTCTTGTCGAAATATGATCCATACGTCGCTGATGGTGGTTGAATTTATGGCTGTGCAGTGGATGACGAGTATATCATCGTGGGGTCTGCAAACATTAACGAGCGATCCATGCACGGGTCTCGAGATTCAGAAATTGCCTTTGGTGCTTATCAGCCATTTCACATAGCTGGAATGCCCGACCTGCCTCATGGAGAGGTCCATGGGTTTAGGATGGCCCTCTGGTATGAGCACATGAGAAGAATCGACAACGTCTTCTTGCGGCCAGAAAGTCTGGAATGTATACAACACGTTAACGCAATGGGTGACAAATTTTGGAATCAATATGCCCAAGATGAACCATGCGATATAGAGGGCCATCTTCTAACCTACCCTGTCACTGTTGGTCAGAATGGAGAGGTGACCGCTTTCCATGATGCCCCGTATTTCCCTGACACTAATGCTTTTGTTGTTGGAACTCTAAACGGCCTTACACGACTGCCTTCGACTGTGACCACATGAGTGAAACTGCCACAAATTCTTCCACCGTCCACAGCAGGCTCCTTGAATCAAAGTCTGACACGGCCCATGCCATCATCATTGATTCATTGGACCATGCTTACACGACTGACCAGGCTTACCTTAAAGCGGTTGGACTGTCAAGGGCCCTGGTGTACCGTGGATGGATGCCTTGGCTATAGTAGGGATTGATCCATTGAGATGATTTCAGAAGAAACACGAAGGAAACTCTAGAGCCTGAACCTCGAGAAAAGCACCCACTGGTTAGCTATCTGCGAAACTCTATGGGCAGTATTTTCGATACCGGTCATTCAAGGCTCGGACATTCTCGAAATTCTTGCAGGCTGTTGCTCATCGTCTCATTCATTCCTCAAGCAGAATGGAACATAGACCGGAGGGAAGACACATCGGAAGTAAAGGGCGAAAGGAGGTCCGAAGGGATTGATTTGAGCTGGGAGGACTTCTTTTATTATGAGGGACGTCGCCTGCAATACAGGCGAATGAGACCACGTGTATATATTTAAAGTGAGAAGAAAGGACAGGCGAATGAGACCACGTGTATATATGTAAAGAGAGAAGAAAGGGCGATTGTTCCACTAACCGTTCTGCAATTGGGTTTTTCATTGTTCAAGCTGTTGCGATCTGCATTCTGGACTTTTAGATTTCCATGAACTTAGTTCAGTATTGTACCTACTAACTATGATCACAAACAAATACCAGAATAGAATATAATGGTACAGATTCGTTTCCAGAGTGACAATAACAGCTCCCAAGATTCAAGAACTCACTCATTAACATTATATTGAGGAGTTTTATTTCTCAAATACATGTCACTCCCATAAGACACTGCTCGATTACGTTAGAAGGTCCGAAGAGCGGAGTTCAATCACACACACAACTTGAAAATTGTACAATCAAAGCTTGCAAGAATCTACAGGGAAAATTTTCTCAGAATTGCACATTCTCAGCCTACTGTTCCGAATTCCCGAATTCGAACTTGATTAAATCCGAAATAACCCAAGACACACTCGGAACATCCAAATCGCACACTTGCAACTTCAAGTGCAGTAACTTCAGACAAACTGAAGCGCACCATGCACGGTGACAGACACACACAATTTCACGAACGCGCACGATAGACACAGGTTGATAGCCAAGACATGTCAGTTGACAGAAAAGTACCCAAAGGAAAGAGCCTTGGGTCTCTTTATTCAACCGCCCGAGGCAAGCCACCATCAGGCGCAGAACCATATGATGCAGCGGTTACTGCGTCCTCTGAGCTTCCGTCCGCTCCTAACCTATGCAACACGCCTAGAATCTCTAACTCTAAGTTCTGCCGCGCATCTTCTAACCCGGAAGAAAAAGACTTGACTAATCTAACTAACTGATGATGCTGGATGGTTCCACTAGTCTTGAGTCCCATCAATCGCCGCTCGGGCGAATCCAATTTCATCCACTTCAACGTTTGAACTTACCACTCAACGAAACTGCGCAAACACCTTTCAATCCGCAAACACAAACTGTCGGTAGTATCCTCCTTCAACTACCTTAACGTCAATTCCACCGCTTCTGCTCTAATCCGCAACATCTGTAACTGCTCTTCAACCGTCTTCAATTGATCTCGCAGCCAATCGCAATCTGCATCCAATTTTAATCTACATTCGAATTCCGAAGATTTGGCCGTTTCACACTCCGTCAATCTTTTCGTCCAACTAGCCAATTCGGCCTCGTGCTTCTTTGTCTGCTACTCCAAACTAGCCATAAGCTCATTTGCGTGTTGCATCTCTTTGTTATGGTCTTCAGTGCATGCCCCGATCCTTCCCCAAAGTTCCATCCTATCAGTTTTCATTGTCATAGCCTCTTCCCGAAGACCTTTGGTTCTCAGTTCTTCCTCTGCACGAAGCTCCTTCTCTTTGGCTAGGTTCAACCGAAGGTCTTCGCACTCCATGTGCTTCGCCCAAAGTTGCTCCTCCCGCACCTTCAGACTTGCAGTTGCTGCTACGCACTCTCTTTCCATCTTTTTGATGGTCTTCATCGAAGTTGCTCTCTTGCTTCGGGTATTATTCTTGAGCGTTTCTACATAAAGCCCTACTTGCGCTGATACCGCTTACTTCTCTTGCTTCCCATCCAAGTACTTTAGCAAGGAAACTACACTGCACTGCAAGAAGTCAGGGATCAAGACTACCACCTTCTTTGACTCTTCCACCGAAGATCTCTTCTCGACTTTGGATTTCGCCATCCCCTAAGACACTTGAACCGAAGGAATCTCAAGGTATTCCAGCACCGTTTCTCCGATCTGCTCTACTACCTGCTCCAACATCTCCTGACCCAGAGTGAGCTCCTTCACATGCTCCTCGTTAGTCTTCAGCTTTGGCACCTTTGCTTTCTCCAAAGACTTACTACTCTTCTCCAAAGACAATTGATTCTTCTCCGAAGGCCAATGCAATAACCCACCAAAGGCTAAAACTGCAGTATAGCAGCAAAAAGGTCGATTCAGGGGGAAAAATTCCGAAGGAGTACAAACAGGAACAATCAGCCGAAGGTGTAAGTCCGAATTACTCAAGTATCTAACCAGTCACACTAGCTCTGAGCATTTGGTCGAAGGCCTTCAGCTACAAAATGCGGTAACTTCGTCAAGCTGTAGCTCCTCTTGCGTGGTGACAAAACTAAGGACACAAACACGCAGAGAAAATGAGTTCCTGAACTGCACTTTTGAAACTGGAAAAATCCCCAAGGCAAAACGCCTTGAACTACTTTATACCTCCTAAGTCCTAACTAACACTCTACTCTACGCTACACTCCATGTCATCTGCTATGCCTCCTGTGCGAAGGACGACCGCGCACTGCGTCTCTACCAAACCAGTCCTCTGCTCTACTGCGCAATCCTAGCTCGCGCTGGAATGCGCGCAGACCAATTTGCGGCACTTTCAGCAGAACCATCCGCAACTGGGTGGACCGAGCCATCGAACTTCTTGCAATTTCGTGCACACTTCTTCTCTCTGCCTTCATGAACCTTCTTGCTTCTCTTTGCGCGTTAGGAGCTCGAGCGAACTCGTTGTGATTGCTCTCTATACTTCTTGCACACTCTCCTCACACTCAACGATCACTCCGCAAGTCCTCCGCGAGTTCTCCACAAGACTTCCGCAAGATTCTACTTATGCGCACTCGATTGCTGCACGCTCCTCTCACTTCGCACCCTTAGACTTCTCTTCGCAAGATTTCTGCGATTCAGGTGGATGCGAAATCAAAAATGGGAGAGTGAGAGCGCGGCAGAGTCTTCCCTTCATTCGGCGATCAAGATCGCCCAACGTTCTACACTTGGACTGGCCGCAGCTCGCTTGAATGCGATGCCGGCGCGGAGGCGTAACGGCCCAATTCGCACGCTCGAATTCACGCTCCGCCGTTGCGCGGACTTGTGGTAACCCACTTTTTGTTTTTCGTCGGAACTAAAACATTTTTGAATAGTAAGTACCGCGGTAGCAGCTGTAAATAGTAATCGGTAGGCAAAACCAGAGTAAAAAGAGGATCGAGGACAGTCAAGGGGTTTTGGACTTAGGCCACAGTCGAATGCTTGGGATGGAACGGGCGGTTCATGCTGCAGGACCCGCTTCGAGCACCTTGGCGGTCGCATTGTGTAGCTGAAGGCCTTCGGCCGAATGTTCAGAGCTAGTACACTGGTTAAAGACTTGAGTAGTTCGGATCTACACCTGCGGGTGATTGCCGATGCTAAGAGCAAGTTACGAGTTCGATACTTCAACAGTTTCCCCCTTACACTTTCGAGTGACTGTTCCTGATTGTACTCCTTCGGGATTTTTCCCCTGAATGCCAAAGTGAAGTTTTGCTACTTCGTGTAAGCCTTGGTTGTAAATTCAGGTTACGCTGCAGCAGGTGCCTTCAGGGTAACCCCTGTAGTATTTCTGGGAATGACAAGTGCCTAAGAATTCAAACTCTTCAATAGACTGTTATGGTATGTTACTAGATCGTTTTTCAGTTGAGTTCCTCCGTGCGGACCTGTGTTCTCTGCGCATTTTGTGAGTTGAGCGTGTTATTCACCGCGTGTGAGTGACTTCGATCCGAAGTAGGAAGTCTGATCCGGGTTCCCTACGCTAGCAGCAAGCTAGTGGAAGGGTTGTAAAAGCCTAAGTTGGGAGTCACTACCTGCAGCTTCGCTGAGTGTACTCGCGAGAGACTTTCCCCCTGAAATCTTGAGTAGAGGTCCTCACGGATCTCTGGGTTGTGTTTCTGTAGTTTCAGGTGTGTGTGTGTGTGTTGAGTGAACTACGCTGCACTGTGCGACCTCCGAGTGAGCTCCGAGTGAACACTTGCAGTATTTCTGGGAGTGATAGTCGCCTGAGAATTCAAACTCCTCAATAGTCTGTTAAATGTGACACTTTGTACCCTGTGTGTTGCCTCTGTCCCTGTGGGTTCGACCTTTCTACCACTATATTGCAGTTTTAGCCTTTAGTGGGTTATTACAAGACTCCCACGCGTGTACGTTCGATCTTAATTCCGCCGTTTTCCACCGAACTTGTTCTCCGCTCGCGTATTGCCGAAGGCGCTCGTGGCGAAGACAAGACGGCGAGACTCACCTCCGGTGCAGCGCAGGAAAGGAAAGGAGCCGGCGGAAGATCCGCCTTTGGCTCAAGGGACTTCGGTGCCACGTGGCAGAAGATTCCCGATGGCGGAAGTTGGCGGGATTATGTCAAGTGTGGAACGCAGAACAGCGGGGCGTGAAGTTGCACGTGAGGAGCAGGCCGTTACCCATAATCGCGGGAACGGAATTCAAGCGGCGTGTGGGTCCCCCGGACTTCGGATTTTGGAGAAGGAATTTTGGCCTAGGTTCAGAGATCTTGCGCGGCCCATATCTTTGCGATGGACGGTCGGATGGATCTGAAATTTTGTGGGGCCGTTGATCTCGGCCGGCCACGCATGCCTGCAAATTTTCAGCCTCAGATCTTTGATGAAAAGGCGCTGGTGGCTCTGTACAATAGGCTTAGGATTCAGATTCAGGGTTAGGGTTAGATTTAGGTTGTAAGTTAGAGGGGAAGGCATCCGCCGACTCCTCAGGTGTAGGATCTGTTGCGGCTCGCACCATGGCGTAGTGCAGTGTAGTGCTAGTTAGGATTTAAGAGGTATAAAGTAGTTCAAGGCGTCTTGCCTTGGGATCTTTCCCAACATCAGAAGTGCAAATAAGGAACTCATTTTCTCTGCGTGTTTGTGTCCTTAGTTCTGTCACCACGCAAGAGGGGCTACAACTTGGCGTTCCGCATTTTGTAGCTGAAGGCCTTCGGCCAAATGTTCAGAGCTAGTACATTGGTTAGAGACTTCAGTAGTTCGGATCTACACCTGCGGGTGATTGCCGATGCTCAGAGCCAGTGACTAGTTAGATACTTGGATAGTTTCGCCCCTACACCTTCGAGTGTTTGTTCCTGATTGTACTCCTTCGGGATTTTTCCCCTGAATGCCAAAGTGAAGATTTGCTACTTCGTGTAAACCTTAGTTGTAAATTCAGGTTACGCTGCAGCAGGTGCCTTCAGGGTAACCCCTGTAGTATTTCTGGGAATGACAAGTGCCTAAGAATTCAAACTCTTCAATAGACTGTTATGGTATGTTAATGGAATGTTTCTC